CAGAACCACAGTTAAGAGACAACAGTATTCATTTTTCCACAACAGTTCACTGAACTCTGAATGAGATGTTAGGGAGAAGAGTGTTTTAGTACTGCATGCTCCATTAAGTCCCTCATTGTGGGACAACTAGGCTTAATATCCCTGTGATAAGACAGGCTTGTGTGCAGCCAGAATTTTGAAGCTCTGGTTTCCTTTATTGTCAGAAAGCCGAGGGAAGGATGTCTTTTGGCAAAAGATAGATATGATCATCTGATTCACAGATTTTTTTGTCAGGGTTCCCTTGAACCAATGCACAGGGCCTTATAGATTGAGTCTAATGGGGTACACCCTATTGAAATGAGCGGGGTGTGAGCAAGTGTTATAACTGAATATGCTTACGTTAGCATCAGCCTGTCTCTGGGGAATAGTCCTCTGGTGTGTGGAAGAAATGTTTATAGGCCTTTGGATCTTTGCCCACTTGTGCCGTAAAGTAACTATATCACAGTGTTGCTAATAAGGGAAGACCTGTACCAAGCACTGACATCACGTCTTTGACAAACACAAGCACAAAGAGCAGTTTACACCACTTCACAGCACTTCACAGCCCATCGACCTGAAGTAAAACTGACAAGAGGAGGTCACATGATGCCAGGGACTATCCTTTGGCATAATCGCTTCATAACACCACATGCCCTTAGTATTAAGTCTTGCTTGTTTTCCTTTGTAAGAATATGAGCAAGGTTTCATAGGAGAGCAGGCCAAGTAGCCCATCTAGATTGTTTGTTTGTTGCTGTGGTTATACTCATTTAGGACAATCAAGGAGAACTGTTAACCATTTGTCTCAGTGGCTGCCTTCCAGCGCTGTTGGGAATGGAAATGTTTTCTGACACGTGCAGTGCTGCAAGCCAAGGCAGATAAAGGCACAAGTTTAATGTGACTAAATTTTGCATTAGGCTGGATTGGCTAAGACAGTGCTCGCTCAGCTGCTCAGTCTCTGATCACTGCTCCTCCTTACTTAAATTAGCCAGGGACTTACTCACTGTACGATTGGTAAGTTAACACCCATTAAATAATATATATTACCAACAATTACCAACACGTTAGGTGTTGCTATACATATTATATATTGTATAGTGCTGTTTCACATATACTGTGCGTATATTGCCAAATGAAATCTAATGAAAATAACATTTTATTTTAAAACAAGGGAAAGACAGGAATCCTGTTTTGATTGCAGGACATACCATCTTTACCATCTTTAGTATCACAAATCTGGAAATCTGTGATACTAGCATTCTCAATTTGGTTCCCCGCATATTAATTTATTTGTGCAGCAGGCATACGTTTTTTTTAAATTAAATTTGTCAAGCGTATGCAAACAAATGTGCAACTGATACAAGGTAAGATCGCAGACTGGAAGAGCTCAAAAGAGGAGACGTTGTTTTGAAGAGATCCAGCGCTCTACAAGGCCACCTGTTTTATCGTTAATCCTGGTGTATTAGAAGCACTGATGTGACCCTTTTATCATTAATCCTCATCAGTGTCTTCACAGTGCCAATCAGCACTTCAGTAGATGATATTAAATCAAGTGGGGAAGAGTGTCATATGACAGTGACACCAAAACAAAGATTCATTTAGAGACAGTAACATGTTTGTCTCTGACAACTGGATTCCACTTTTCACTGTTTTAATTCATTATTAGATGCATTATTGTCCTTCTTTTCTGTTGTAAACTCAGTTTTCACACCACCACTTTAGCCAATTTGTAGTAGCGCACCAGAAACAAAATAAAGCTGATGCTTGCTTGAACTGGTGTACTGTATAGATGGTTATTCATATTTTTACCATGAGTGTATAATGTGGGCAAAGTCAACAGTTCCCATTCCACCTTTTCTGTTTCACTTACAGTATGGGAAACATCATTCAAGGTTATGGTGTCTACTAAAAACGGCAATCGTGAAATATTTGAAAATAAAATGATGACCCAGTTGTTTACAGTACATTGACAAAATAGTGTGAAATATGTTGAGAGGGACCATGCATCCATTTTCTACCCGCTTCTTCCAGTTCAGGGGGTTATGGGCGAACCTGTCCTGGCATGCAATGGTTGCAAGGAGGGGTGCACCCTGGATAGGATGCCTGTCCATCCCAAGATGCACACACTCAACCAGGGCCAATTTTCCCAGAAGTTAGTTAGCCTACCAGTATGTTTTCAGACTGTGCGAGGAAAGTGCAGCACCTGGAGGAAACCCACACAAACCCGGGGAGAACATACAAACTCCACACAGATAGCTTCCCAAGTCTGGAATTGAAATCAGGGATCCAGTACAGTGAGTCAGCAATGCTAACCACTGCACCACAGTGCCTCCGCAGCTTAAATATCAGTGGAAATAATATCTTTTACATTATTTGCCTCTATGGAGCAGGTGCTTAAAGCATCCTGTAGGATTTTATTTGGAAGAATGCCAATTATATGCTTCTATGCTATTTTCAATAAGCTGATCCACCAACATAAGTGCTTGAGAGGTGAGTTGTAAAAACAGAAATATGACATCATAAGTTTATTTTCTTTTTTTTCATTATTTGCACACAACAAAAGCCCCAGGTCCAGAATTAAACTCAGGACCCCATTGTTGTGAGGTAGCATACTACTGTGCCACTGTACTGCTCCATAGAGAACATCTTTTATTTAGATTAGCTTATAACTCTGAATTCATATCTCTCTTATTAGGTTTTGTTGGGCTGCAGTGACAAAATTCCTGGGCTGGGGAAGTAGAAAATGCCAGGTTTCAGTCTATGGTCCAACGTTGGAGCAGGTTTCTTTAGTCCATGTTGCCACAGCGCTGGGGTTGAATGACCTTCCAGTGCAGCAGTTCTCCCAGTTCCAGAGCTGTACAGTGCAGTGCCAGGAGTCACAAGGTTGGCTGCTCTCTCTCTGACAGTGTCAGGATTCTGCTGTGCCAAAAATAGATTTTGTTTTATAGGGCGCTCAACAGCATTTTCTTTGCAGCTCAGTGCAGTCCATCTTAACAGTGTTCATACTGTATATCTCATGGAAACTTTGACACAAGGAATTGTCACTGGGTGGTTTCCCATTGAGTCTGGGCGATTTCTTCCTCCTTTGTCACTGAGGTAGGAATGGATTTCTGAAGTTGAGGAACGTATTGTGGATGAAGCTTCGTGTGGGCCAGTTGACGTTTATATGTCAACTGGCCCTACTGGCTTGGTCAAAGATGCATCTTATTCCCTGAGGTGGATTCTGAAAGCTGCATGTTCAACTCTATTGCGCCGCACAGTAACCGCAGTCTGGTTCTGTTCACTCTGAATTAATTTCAAATTATCTTTAAATTATCATATTGCTTAAACCCATTCAGTATAGTTAGTAACTGCTGCATCTGAAATATAATGCACAAAATAGAAGCTTACATGTAGTGTTTATCCATATTTTTGACATAACAATTGCAATCTAGAAAATCACCTTAATGAACTTGTCAAAACGTAAGTAACAGCACTAAGGATGCTGTCTTCTTGTAATTGTGTAAGGAGTTTAACTGAAATATAAGAAATTTAGAAGACCATATACTGTATTAATTCTGTATGAGTGTTTCTAATCTATTTGCTTTTTTGTCAGAAGACCTACAGTTACATTTAATAATTCAGGCACAAACTTTTAATATTGAATAATATGGTACAGTACAGCTATTACCTTCTTCACTTGATAATTGCCTCCCACTTCTAAGTCAAGTGCCTGAACTTAGTCCAAGTGTAACTACGTCATTTGTCAACACCTTTGCTCATTGTTTGGGATCTGTATGTTTTCAAATCTATTACTCATTAATTTGGGGTTTATCTTAACACACAGTATGTGGTAGAGTTGTGTGTACCTGATTCTCAGATTCCTGACTTATTGTTTACAAAACAGGATGTAAATTAATTCAATCACTCTTGTTCCAGAAGTACTGTAAAACCACCATTTCTGTATAGGTGTGAGGCCTAGCCTTTCCTTCTTTAAATCCTTTCCAGAAAAAGAACAGAATTACAGTGTTCAGGAGCTGTCATGCCATGAGCACTCAGTTTCTTGCTGTGTTGATACTTAGGAAAAAAGCCTAGCCTTCCACAGAAATAATAGGGTTGACCAAAAAAGCAAATGAAAATTGCATTTATATAGGCCCTAATATTTAGGCATTTGTGGTCATCAGACAGAACTTCGCTCTGCTGTAAGGTGTGTTTGGAAACTGGAGCCTATCCCGGCAAGCAACAGACTCAAGGCGGATACATCCTGGATGGGACAGTAGTCTGTCAGTTCACACACAGACACAAACACACTCGCACCAGGACCAGTTTTCCCAGAAGCCAATTAACCTATCAGTGTGTCTTTGAATTGTGGGAGGCAACCCATGCAAAAACTGGGGGAACATACAAACTCCCAAAGGCCGACACACTGTACTTAACCAAAATGAGAAGGAATTGCATGTTTCAATTTGTCATTTGACAGTTTCACAAAATGAACTAATTATGGGTGCTGGATAAGAGTAACCTCAAATTGTCTTGTGTTCTGTTGATAGTATATGTTTAAAACTAAACACTTCTAGAAAAGTGCTGTCTTTTTTTTTGTATTATAACTTAAGGAGAGGGCTGGGGGAAACAACTTTAGTCTTCTGGCAACTTCTAAACCAGAGTTTGTGTCATCAGTCAAGTACTTCAGGCTTAATTAAAAAAAAAACATGCCCTCTTGTTCTTTTCATATATGTTCTACATTACAGGAAATTTGGCTTTTTCAGCCATTACAGTGTATGACAATGTCCTTAGGAATCCTTAGGAATCACATATTTTTGGTTGTGTATTCTTTGTTATATACTGTAGCTGCACTGATATGCAAATGTGAATATTTACATACTAGAAAGAAATACTTAAAACACAGTATATTCCCTCTATGTACGTGGAGTCTCTTTTTTTTCCTCTTCTGTTTTATAAGGCGGCAACGCACAAACCTTATGGAGTTGCTTTTTTTATATCAACAGAGGGATGCTTCAGTACATTTGGTGCAGGTGGAGGATGCAATACTGGAGTTCCAGGTCTTAATGCTGGTAACTGGGCTTTTGTTTTTGTCAGGAAACCACAACTTTTCTCTCTCTTCAGCTCGTCCACTGTCACCTGCATCTGACAGGAGCAGGCCTCTCAGGATTATTTGCATTTTGACTAGCTTGTTCCACGAAAGCCAGACTGAAGGTCTTTTGCATCTCAGCATTTAAATTTTTAGGTCTCCTGAAGCTGCTCTCCCGTTAACTCTTTGCAGTCCTCTCCGTCTCAGCAGGCAGAGGTTTGTTGCTGTGACCAACAGAGATTTGTGGCCTGCAGAGGAGAACTTCTCATATGATCATAGTGTTGACTGGCATTTAGCAGATCAAAACATCTTACTTTTAGTTTTTCTAAACTCTTAATAGAAAATGCATAAAATCGCAATCTTGAAATGCGTTAGAAAGTGTTTCTACAGTGCATATCCTTTTAAATACCTACTAGGTCACACTTAAATCTGAAATGCTTAAATGCATAATTGAGAAGTTAAAAGCTTTGGCAATGACTTTTCAGCATTTTTTATGTAGGTATACAGGTTGATCCTCTTACTCAAGTGCTTTTTGTGCTGTTATCATTGTTTTGCATACCTGTATCTTGGAGGGATCACTTCAATGACATTGCCATCAAGCCGTGCAAAGGTGAGTGTTTACTATGCCTTGCAAGTCACTTCCAAAGTACTGAAAAAAAGATTGTTACTGACTGTTAGCTGATAAGAGTTTCAATCAAGTTGAGTCACAGATGTAGAACTAAGTGAAGCATGTTGACATTTTGCAGGCAGTTGTTGATTTTAAGTCAATTGATATTATCGTTCTTATAAGTACATCTGCCCAAGACGGGAGACAACCTTGGTTTCACATTCAGTTTCATTCAGGTACGGTAGGCAGATATTGTAGGCCTGTATGATTTAGAGGTATCATTATTCACTCACAGAGCAGTGCTAATTTTAGGTCCTGTCTTTTAGACTAAAATCCTTGCCTAGAGACCTTATGATGTAAGAGTTTCTTGTGAAGCAATAGACTGATACATTTAGGATGTGAGCTACAAGTATGTACATGTGAACCCAGATGAAAGGTTGCAAATAAAAGGATACTGTTTCAACCCATCTTGCTTGTTCAGTAGTTTAGTAGTCAAGGTAATCTAAAATGTAATTTGCCTGTACTAATAAGCAGGATATTGGTCCTCAGCCACCTGACTACGAGGCCAAACTCCCTCATGTGTTTCCTCTTCCCTTCTTAAATGAATGTCTTTTTTATTTCCAATTGTGTCCTTGCTTGGCTGAGTGTGAACTAGTTTCATGTGCTGACTCCTTATGATTTTATACACCTGTGTCAAATCTCACTTTGTTCTGTTCTGGACTGAAAAGATTTATCTTCATTAACCTCGCTGTATATGTTGATGTAAGTAAAAAGTCTATGTGCTAAAAAAAGTTTGCTGTCAGAGCACTGGCTTAGCCTTTTGCTTCTCCAATGCATCAATGTAGGAGATGACTAACTTTTAAACTATTTTAACTATTTTAAACTAGGTACTATTTGCAAAGCATTTTCACATTCAAATGAATCTTTCACTTTAGATCTGACATTGTTTTTTGCACCTAAATGACATTTTAAAGAGAAAATGCTTTCAAAACCCCAGCATTATATTTTATTCCAAACATTTGCATATAATATAAGATATACAGGATATGTACGCAGGATAAATGCAGTTAGTTAAGAGAACAGAAAAACAATGGGGCCATATAATCCCATTATAGTATAAAAGTCCATATCTGTCAATATCGATCTGTAGATAAGATCAACTTTATTGTCCCCTAGGGGATTTTTTTATGGACACACATTGTTCTGTACTTCTGAATATATCACAAAACATTACTGTACATCATGTGACATATTTCACATACATAGTAAGGAGGAGTGCTGCTTTACTCCCATAACCTTCATTGTTTTTTTGACAAAGTGGGTGATTTTTTATCTTAATTGAACAGATAAATTACCAAACCACACTATTATACCATATTTAACAATGCTCTCAATTACAGCATGGCGAAATAGGATTACTATTTCCTGTCTAACTCCAAACACCCTTAATCTTTGTAAAAAATACAAAATGCTGAACTGTGGGGCAAACACTCTCAATCTGAATAGTCCAGCTCAGGTTGCAGTCTATGTATATTTCTAAATACTTATATAAATTAATCTGATTAATAAGCTTCTTCAGAATCACTACATATGAATGGTCACCGACAACTTTGGGATCAAACACCATTTCTTTTAGTTTTTTTCACATCAAAATCAGGTTACATTAGTCACACCATTGCCCAAATCTAGGAATTTATGACTTACAGCATGCTTAGACAAACTGCCAAAATAAAATACTAATATAGCAATAATGTGCTTTATTTCAATATTGTTATAAAGCATAGGGTTGTATGCGTATAGTATATCGGAGAAGCAATATACGATTTAGAATTGTGTGACTTTCATCTTGGGGTTGACCTGACCTTTTTTATCCTGAGCAGTATACATGTAACAAACCACCTCATAAGCATTGCAGCTTAAGTGGAACCAGAGAAATGCAAACGCAGAGTGGTTTATCCCCACCAGAGTAAATAAGCAGGGTTATAATATTCCAGCATGAGGGAAGGATGCAGCCGACCTCTGACTTGATGACTGAGAGTGTTTGTTGCGACCATGAATACAGCATTTATTGTGTGTCCCAGCAAACTGCCTTTCCAGAACTATTGTGATTCAATGCATAGTCCTCTCGCTGGGAGATAACTGTCTTATATGGATCTAGATAAATGACCTAAACCTCTGTAGTTGCTTGTCTTTTTCCCAAGCAAGCACATCCATGTGCCCTGTATTAAAATGTATTTTAGCATGGCTTGGGCCACTCCATCATCTGGTGTAGTTGTTGGCTCTTTTCAGCCTTGATTGATTTCTCTGCTTTAGCACTGTGACAGAGTTAGTAAAGAAAAGGCCCTCTTGTAATCTGTGGTGCTCTTGTCGTGACGTGCAGCATGGGGTGGTCTCACTGACAGCACTAAAGATCAGTTTTGTGCTACAGAGTAATTGTTTTCAGTTGTATTCATATGGTGTGTGTGGGGGGATAAATTAACTGAAATGCTTGTATATTTTTACAGTGCTTGTATATATTTTTTTACAGTGCTTATATTTTCACAGTGCTTTGCAGAAGTATTCACCCCTGGTAACGTTACCTATTTTGTTGATTTGCAAAGGATTCATGCACAATGCATTAACCCATATTTATCCTGCGGGGGAGCCAGAGCCCATCCTGACGAGCAATAGGTGCAAGGCAGTTTACACCCTGGACTGGACACCAGTCCAGCAGAGGGAAAAAACACACACACTCGCACCAGGGCAAATGTTTCCTGAAGCCAGTTAGCCTGTTTTTTTGGACTGTGGGAGAAAACTGGAGCACGCAGGCAAAACACACAAGCGAGCACAGGGAGAACATACAAATCCACATATATAGCAAACCAGGTCTGGAACTGAACCCAGGGCCCCAGTGCAGTGAGGCAGCAATGCTAACCACTGCACGACAGTGTCCCCCCCAGCTTAAATATCATTGCAAATAATAGCCTTTATTTTATTTTTGTCGCAATGCTAGCCACTGTGCCACCTGCATCACATTTTTTTAAATTTGTTTAATCAACACCTGCTCAAGCCGAACACATTTATGTGTATTAGATGTTAACATACACGGAAACATTGCAAAGAGAAAGCACAAAATACTGTTCCATAGTTTGGGTTTGATGTCTCATTGTCAGCCAAGGGTAATACCATTTCTCATCCCCTGGCTGTGGAGGGATGGTGCACCCTTCTCCAGCTAAGCAGACTGCTGGCTTCTTATGCTGAAATATTAATATTAATGTCTGGGTAAAAGCACCAGAGCTTATTTTGTTTTTTTGTTTGAGTTTTTCCATTTTCTGATTCTTTAAAGTCTGTTGAAAAGTCAATATTTTACTTCAGATGCTTTTAGGATTCCTCTCCGAATTGCCACCCCCCACTCTTAGGGAGCACAGGGCCCCTAATGTGCAAATATGCTTTTGAGGGGATGCAGACAAAGGCCTGTGCTTTGCTCATGTATTGTATATTTTCAAACTGATTTCTATACATGAATGGAATCAGTTGTAATGGACATACACTTGGAGCCATAACCAACTGAGATGAGAGCAGCAGAAGCTGGCTTCTTTAGAGGTTCTTAGCCCCTAATTTGCTTTTAATGGGATGTGGGACTCACCAGCAGTAATTGAGTTGATTATCAGGGACTCTGTAAGCCAGGCCACATATAGGAAGCCTGGAGTTGTGTAAAGTCACATGGGATCAGTGCAAGAAAAAGTGCTATCTGAATTGAGTGTATTGGAGATCCAGCACCCTTCACTGGGCACTTGTTATAGTACTGTGGCACTTCCTCTGCCTCTCTCGCTATCTCTCTCCTCCTGGCTCTTTTTTCTCTCTTTCTCTTTGTCTCTCTCTCACACTGTCTCTCTCTATCCGTCTGTCGCTTTCCCTCTGTCTCTCTCACACTGCCTCTCTCTTGCTGGCTCTTTTCTCTTCCTCTGTCTCTCTCACACTGTCCCCCTCTCTTTCTGTCTCTCCTTACACTGTCTCTGTCTATCCATATTTCTGTCTCACTCTCTCTCTGTCTCTTTCACACTGCCTCTCTCCTGCTGGCTTTCCTTCTCTACCTCTGTCTCCCTCCTTCTGGTTCTCCATCTTGCTCTCTGTCAGTCTCTCTAGCTATCCTTTCCACTTTCTTTACTTGTTTCTGGTCATGTGAACTTGAAATCATGGGTCAACAGCTGTTTTTTGGAAGAGATTTTACAAATTGCAAATGTGTTTTTTGCCTGTTTTTCTTTGTTGATTTGTGTATATACAGTCTATCATGTTTTTTCTCACTAATAAATATATCTCCATTCCTGTTCAGCCTGTTCTGCTAGAAACTAAGAATGTTTATAAACCTCTGGATAAAAGTTTGACTTTTATTTGTT